GAGATGATCAGCAGTTTAGGTGAGAGAACTCAGTACGGGAAGTCTAACAACAGCCGACATGCACAAATACGAGAACACGGGATCTAATGTGCTTTCGATAGCACAACCGATGGTAGCGGTTGAGGTTAGCGGGAATATTACAGGTGTAATGGTAACAATAAGAGAATTATTATAATGTTCATGATGAGACTGGGAGGTGGGGCAGGTTATCGAAAGAATTCAAAACATCGCACATAGTAACAATTGAAATAACCATCCATGTGTAATTCAAAGAACCAAACAGAAAAGATTGATCAACAAAAAGAACAGAAAAGAAAAGACCACAAATCACGTTTGTAATTATGGCGTGCTTAACCTCTCATGTAGTGTTTTTTTCGAAATCCTCGTCGATGGGAAGAGGAACTGGGACGAAAGGGGCCAACTTTGAACACCATTGCCGATTCAATTTCTCCTCAGAAAATCATTGTGCGCCGGTATCACACTTGGTTTGCAGGAAGTATGGTTGCGATTCCGTACGAGCATCGGGACGACAACAAACTGACACTACCGAGAGCGAGGGAGTAGTTTTTGTGCAGACTGAAAAGCTGTTTCACAGCACTTTTCTATCATTAATTGGAACCATAGTTACAATGATGTGGTGGATGCCACCAGTTCATGCAAACCATTACAAATGGTGTATTCATATACTATTATTATTGTTATCATTATTATTATTAGTTATGGAGCGATTGACAAGCAAAGGTTCGGACTTTGCAAATGATCCCACAGAGATGTGGATTATCAGAAGGGGAATCAATCTATGAATAACAAAGGAACGATATTAGTATCGTGTGTTCGCATGTGATCCCGTAGCTTCTGAAATCCGATTTCAGGACCTGATCACATCTAACACATGTGCGAACATTTAACTGTGATTTAGTAGGGTTCGAGTGAGATGATTTCACACTGAACTGTGAACAAAACGTTTTCCAGAGACGCGGTCAGGTTTTATGATTCAGTAACATCTAAATCCTCGTTGGCTGGGTGCTCGATCGAATATTTCAGTGTCAACTCTCGAGTTTCACCTGAAAATCAAGAAAAACATTGAGAAAAAGTTCAATACATTCATTAGCATAGTTATTCAACACAGACAGAGATTTGCATTTCTATTTTAACAGCCTACCTTTAAGAAGCTAAGCTCTCAAACAAAATCTCGGTTTATCTATTCAGAATTTTGATAGAGAGGCACAATATTAGGCTAATCATCGCTAACCATCAATAATAGTCACGTTGATTCCCGAGTGCCTACCAAAACCCCCAGAAAGGTTCTGATTTGGTTTACGGTTTTCCTTGGAGCTGATAGATCGAGGGGTCAAAGTCACTGATTGACTATTAGGGCGGTGGAAACTGAGGAAAACCCAAATCGGTAGTTCTGGTCAACCACGTTCTGAAGTAGTTGGTACACTGCTAAAACCCACACATTCCACAGGAGAGATCTGATATTCGTAACATGAACTGATAGATAACTGACTGATGAGGATACAAATGGCCAGGCAATCGATCCAGAAGAAGGCAGTTATCCGGTTCGGTACAAAAAACTGAACATATCAAAAATAAGCCCACCTGGTTGCAGATCAAGATCCCATTCAACATTGTTGAACTTGTTCATGCGAATGGGTTTATTTCGATCGTATTTTTCCGGGTGTTTGATGGATGGCTCGATCAAATTCACCTGAATGGGGAAAAAAGAGAATATGAGAGCCAGTTTTATCTCTTCATCTAAGTTAACATTCCATAGATAGAGCAAAGCATTCTTTTGTTCTGAGAATAGTACGTATGCATTCGTGTTTGTCGAAAGTCGTAAGTTCAAAAAATTGGTAGAATTTCAATGTTTTCAAGACCGATTCCTGTACAAAGTCACAGTGTAGGGCCTCTAAAAAGTAGATATCTCTATTATTTACGCTGTTCAGACAACCACTCCGAATAGTTTTACCAATAACATTGATTCTAAAAGGCTCCTGCTGCATCAGTGGCCATTGCATCCGTTTGACTGGATCAAATCTACCCAAAGCTCTGTGGAAAAATATATATATAGCATTTTGTGGCAGATAATCAAAAAGTTTGAATCCAACGGAAGATTATCGTGTATCAAGTCAATCGGAAAAGGTAATATCTCACAAGGACACTAACATTTAATAACGCAAGAATGCAGTTTGCTAATGAAACATACGAATGTTAGAACTGCACAGGAAAGTTCTGATCTGCAGAAAAGCGATGAACCTTGTTGGTACTAGATCAGACAGACTTCAAATTATTTAAAGGGAGTTTCAACTTACGGAAGGGCTGTTCGTGTTGAATCTATTCCAGGTGATCAGTAGTTGATAGTTCAACAGACGTTCTTAATGTTTGCTGTGAAAAGCCGTGGATGAGCTTTAGACTGGACTGGCTGACTTAAGGTGTGAATACAGCTTCAAATATATATTCGACACTAACCTGTTAGTCACTCAGATGAACTTTAGATTCAATTCCAAGAATATGCCTATTATTACATCAAAACACACGTTCAGTAGAAAAAAACAGTTGCCTTCAGTTATTCGCCAACCAGTCCACATAGATCCCATAAGTCCGTTAGGAGTCACAGTGATTGTATGAGAGACAGGAGGGAAGAATGGTGCACCATGTTTCACGTCACTAGGTCACGGCAACTTGGAAATCATGCAGGAAGTACTACATCAGTTCCATTCACTTTTTACAACCATTAACCATGCACTTTCGTGCACCGGTTTTGGTGGCTGTCTTTTAGCCGCTCATTTGACTAAACTCAGTAGAATGAATATTGGAATGTTTAAAGCCAATTAAAGATGACAGAGAATTCATAAAGACTGCGGTTGCCAGAATATTGAGTAGATGCAAGAGCGCCACTGTTTACGACAACCAGCCGTCTCTAACCATCGGTGACCATCATCTCGGGGTCCCCAACCAGGGAGCCTAACGGGACCTATGTGACCCAGTCTCCTGGTTAGGGTTTTTATACCCTCATGCCAGGTCTTAGTTTGACCGCCCTTGATCTTTTTTCATTCGCGTCCAGCTTCGGCAAATATCGCTCACCGTGGAAACCTGTTTGGCGACAATCGCAGCACGTCTGTAGCCTATTGAGATCAACCACTTGCTCCAGTGGATGACCGCGATTACCTAAAACTCCACGCCTAATGTCAGTAATGCTCGTCCGGTTTCCCCATCACACTCGTACACCGCCAATCTATTTTTATCCCGTTCCCGTAGTGGCCAATTGTCTGCAGCGTGTAGCACCATTGGTCGAACTGCTGCAGCATACACTCCACCCTTCACGGACAGCCGGATTTCGCGACGGCACCACAAATGTCTCAATTTGACAAATGCCAAACGAGCCTTCTTTTTCCTAGCCGACACTTCATCTGTGACGCGTCCGCCAGGTGAGAAATAGCTACCCAGATAGCAAAATCTATCTATTTCCTCTAGTAACTTCCCCAGTCAGGGTGATGGTGGTAGCTGGACCAACCCAAACTTCTAGCAACATTTTACAATTTGAAGGTGTAAAACACATACCAAACATAGATACGCTAACACTCAAACTATCCAGAAAGATTGGAACTTGCCTAGATCTTCACTTAGTAGCACAATGTGCTCTGCATACTCCAGATAAGACTGTCTACCACCCGGGAGCAAATCGACTCCGCTCTCCGCTTACGGGATAGAGTTGTTTCAAGAATTACGTATATGACAAAGTTATATAGAAACGGAAATAAGGAGAACAACCCTGACGAACACCACTTTCTGTAGTGAACTCCGGCGATTAATTGTTGCCTGAAAGTATAGGAGGATTTGATTCTGTTTCATTTCACGCTTCATTTGCCCTATACACGATGAATTCCTTCCATGAAATTGAATCAAATCCTCCTATACTATGTTGCAAAATGGAAACTGTAAAACTTATTTAATTTTAGGTAATAATCTAACTGATATTCAAGTTGTCCTAGTCATGCTCTTACATATCATACAGTGAAAAAAAAATTATTACATAACGATAGCCATTGGCTCATTTCAAGGTCAATATTCGGAGGTAGGCAGTGACGGGTGTGGAACCTTGAAATGGGCCAATGGCTATCGTTATGTAATAATTTTTTTTTCACTGTATGATATGTAAGAGTATGACTAGGAATATCCGAAAACAATTGTTCGCTCACCGACTCGTTTTCTCAATGCTATTATGGGAATATTCAAGCTTTTGATATTCAAGTTCTCTTTCTTTTTGATTTGCCCAGTGATAGAAGGGTCGTCTAGGCTAGGTAGTTAGACCAAATTGATTCAAGTAGAACTATGCGTTCGGCCTGTGCATTTCTGTTTATGCGTGTAACAAGCTGACCGACAGAGGATCAAGCGAGGCATTGGTCGGGACGATTATCGACTCAAGCGATTAGTAATGCACGTTGTTTGTTTTAGAGTGAGGGCAGTCACTCCCCGCGCGGGTTTGAGAGGTCAAGTGAGAGGATAACCTTTGATCATGTGATATATGCCAATATGGGCGTTAGTCGACATCAGTGAAGATGTTTCTCAGCTGTCTCACTTTGTACTACCGGGTGAATCACTAAGTCGGGAACGCACTGTTGGGTCGAATTGACAGCTAATTCTCAGGGAAATTGGTCAACAGCAAAATCTGATCAGAATTCACGAGACCGTCCACAACTCTCTTCTCATTCATTTGTGTCTGTGGTGTGGTAAGGAGGCCGTTTTCTGTCAACTTTGCGCTGCTCGCGAAAAATAAGCCACCATTGTCAGTCCTTGCAAGCAGGACTTAATGGACAATAACAAAACGCGTTTGAAAACACTGTTTTCCCGTCACAAATTTGAATAGAGAAGTCAGAAACATGTATTTGCACAAGGTATTTATTATCAGTTCGTTGCATCTTTACATGTGCATACTGCCGTCAAATCGATTTTTGATGTCAAAGAGATAAGAACAGCGAGACTAAAACAAGATCGCTAATCACAACGAACAACACGACACTAAAAATTTTGCTATTTATCCTCATGTCGACTCAATTGAGTGCAACTCGAAGCATTAAAATTATTGTATTCCGCCAAGAAAGAAAAACAATCATATTAAATTTAAGGTGACCTTGGAATCCCTTTTGATCGGTTGTCAGTTTGAAGCCGATGAAGGAGGATGATTTGGGTTGGTTTAAAGCAAAATGAGTGGATATAGATAACCAATACCGTACAATACGAAACTCCCTACTGACCGACGCACACATCGAAGGACTAAAACAATTGGAAGGTTATCAAAATACGATAGTGCTGCCCCCAATACGCGTTCCGGGGTAACAGTGATGGATGAGTCACCCTAAAATGAAATGATACATGTACTACGGGAGGAAACCAAGTTTAAGCTTGACAATACTCCAGTCGATCCAAGTGAACTGGAGAAGAAAATCTGTGCGGAACTGAAAACTCTAGCTCAGACTAACCTTATGCAAGAATCAATGGCGAAATGTATGCACTCGAGGGGAGCACAGACACCACAGATGTACGGTTTACTGAAGCTGTCTTAAGGTGTTCCATTACGATCAATTCTGAGAATGATCGATTCACACCAGCGTGCATAAGTAAAGTGGTGAGCTAAGGTTCCGGTGCCGGTGAGAGATTCAATTGCTCTACGTAATGCCAAGGGTTGCTTTGAGATGATAAACATCTGATCCACAGAAATAATCAACAAAGACATGTTTACAGTGAATGTCAAATGTAGTGACCGAGTGGTTAGGTCACCAACTTGTGACCCGGGTTCGAACCACTCCACCGCCGCCCTTCTCCCCAGGCGGCCTTTGTATGGCCGCGGCCCTCCTTCCTGAATGTTGGCTGTACATTTTTATATTCAATACACAAAAAAGAAGGTTAGCAGCATGAGGACGTTTTACGAACGACTACTTTATATGAGTGCGACAGTGTGCATTCTTAATTTTATTACAACCAACACCTCTGAAATTTCTCTATCTTATTTGGAATAAAGTTTCGGCTTTTATGATTTCGCTGATGTTATTATCCTTTAAATAAAATATTGATAGCTGTTCTCATTCTTTGGGTTAGCTCAAGGTCTTCTTCTATTTGTGATTTTCTGCAAATTCATTTGTTCGTCAAACACTACTAGTATATGGACTGCGGATTTTGCTTAATTTCCAAAAGTAGTTATCGATAAATTGCAGCAATTTTTCCATTTTCCGAGGGTGTGCAATTTTAAAGAACTGAGTGTAGTTTCACTGAAACATACCTTGATTTTGCATTCTCCACTGACTGGGACTTGATCCATAACCATTAATCGAATTGGGCGATCGAATGTGTTCCTTACTTCAATCAGTTGTTTGAAGGTCAATGTGGCATGTTTACTTCCTGAACCGGAACTTTCACGATATTTGAACAAAGGACGATAGTTGACCTTGATCCCGTGCTCCGCTCCCAAGTTGCAACTGAACTCTTCACCTTGAGCCACAGCTCCTAACTCAGACTGCACGAATGGAACCAGATGCGAAAAATGGTATTACATTATTGCTCATACAGGAAGGAATCAGAAACTAACAGTTTACCGATAAACAAACAGACCAACCGACCTACCTCCCGAACGACCGACCGATAGACAGACAGACAGACAGATATATAAATAGATAGATATAGATAGATAGATAGATAGATAGATAGATAGATAGATAGATAGATAGATTAAATAAATAAATAAATTTAATTATTGGATAGATTTGTTAGATGTGGGTGATTAATCTTTGTTTTGTTGATAGTGGTGGAACAAAAGGAATTTGTTCCTTCATTGTTTGTGTACTGAAATATGTAGCAGTAAGCTAAGTAAAGTAATTTCTAAATGCAATCCCGGGGTCCGATTTGGGGAATGTTGTGAGACATCTGGGATGACTTTATTGTTTGGGGGATACTCAAACGGAGTCAACAGAAAGCAACACGTATTTATTTGTTTCTGTGGCGCCAAAATGTACACATTCAGTATTGCTGAAGTCAGAACATGAATTGGCTATTGCATTCATCTCGAATGTGAGTTGATTGGCACAACGGTAGCCGACACAATTCATGCGATGCGTCAAGGGCTGAAATTCCAGAAGAGACGGCGAACATGCGCCACTGAAAACCTCGAACAAGCACTAAGCTCGGGTATGGTGCCCCCAGAGTACATGGTTGATTAAATGAAATGAGGCTTGTGTTTTAAGGATGTCCATAGTATGATCAACTTCATTTCCTTCCATGCCACGTCTCATGAGTAACTATGAGTTAAATGTGACGTAAGCTGACCATTTAATAATATCGGTTTAAGTGCTGTGAAAAACAGCTGCCCTGACCGATGAACAGTAAGTTTTATCGACGTTTTCCGTGCTACTCAAATTCTCATACGTTTCAAAAGTTGAACTACTTAGACATATATCAATAACAGCCATATCTGACGGCATCTCATTCACTCCGCATATAGTTTACGGACTGCATACTGGGCTTAGTTTTCTCTTTTTTACGCAGCCATTTTGATTGTGAGTGTAAATATATCGAAATGTTGTATGAGTTAATAAATGGAAGAGCACCTCGGGCGTTGGTTTCTTGTCTGCTGGTAAAGGCAAATGCTTACAATTTACTAAGATCCTACTGTCTTGCTGAAACACCATGCGCATAGAGTGCAGATATTAAAACAGGGTGCGAATCTGGTATTCACAACCGTGGCGAGTACCATAAAGGAAACTAAAACAGTGGATTGAACAGTCCTGTTTTTTGATAATCCATAACCGTCATTAGGAATTCGTATTCCGTACAGGATAATAAAAAATTTCTGCATTTAAATCCTAAGCCACAACTGGAACCGTGGTTATGAGAGATTCAAATTTAAAAAATAATACAAGACAACTCCAGGCAAGTAAAAAAGGTGGTAAAACGGTCGGAATATAAACATATAACTAATCTTTTACATGACATACAAAGTCGGTTGACAATACTTTAACGCTCGGTTACACAAGGTAAGGGGATACATATGTTAAACTGTCTTCGATTTTATTTTCTTCTATTGAATATACAATGATACAATTTTCATGAAAGCGGAAGTGGCCAATCAAAGTTAGGCTGTGGTGGTGTTATTCGAACACAGGTCAACAGGAGTGATAACTTGGTAGTGTTACCATCGGTCAACGATCACCGTAGACGATAACGATATCAGGGACAGTGAAATTCGGGGGGTCCTACTGTTGTTATTGTTTTTTCTATTATTTCTTACAGCATAATATTAGAATTTCCATTGTATTATGGGATCAAATAGAGAGTCCGAGCTCGATATAGCCCGGATTTTGCTAGAAAGCACAAAGGTTTAAAAGCGACTTCTGAAAATGTCCATTTTTGGAAATGCATCAAACTTTTTCGACTATTAAATTCGATAAGATGATCTATTGCTCACAACGGACACTTCTGAGTCGTGTTACAATCACTTTTGAAGTAGGTACATAGTTCCTGAAGTATAATTGTACACTTGTGAAGGGTAAGTTATTGAAAATTCCTCTACGGAACTCGATATGATAAAAAAGAATCCCACAAACCTGGGAGGATACAAAAACAATTGTGACGTACCTTGCCAATGAACGTGTTATCCGCATAAATGTTGGTTTGGCCGGCCAGAATGTAAAAATCACTCCTATTCACGGCCGTTGCTTTCAGGTATGCATGTAGCGAGCGTTTGGGGGCGGTCACGTATTCGTAACGCGGCTGTAAATCCAATAATCCCACAGTCACTCGAACGGGCTCGTGATCACAACGAATAAGATTAGGTGGACGTGGTACATCCAGATTGACTGCTGCTATACTGCTTGATTGCGGTGGTTGTGGCGTTGGTGATGGGACCACTGACGTCGGTAGTGATTGGGCCCCGGTGGTCGAAATTACTCCACCGGCGGGCGGTGGTAGTGATCGAATCGACCCCGCACCATAAGCGGTTTGAGCAGCTGGAGGAGAACCATGAAACAGTATGCTGGTACCTAAAGTACGACGCGTGACTCCTCGAGCTCCGGCGCTTGTGCTGCGAATGTTACTTGATTGTGCGGTCTCAAAACTGCTGCCTCTTTGCAAAGTAGCGCAAGGTGTGGGAGTATCACGTTGCTAAACAACAGGTTCAATTAAAGCCACAGAGAACTCAATGGTTTACTTAATTTGGAGGAGTTTATTTCATTTTCGAATTAAGTTCGGATTTTGAACGAAATTTCCCGTCAAGCTTTGGGATGACAACTGCTTTGTCCTAATTGTAAATCTTCAGCAATGCGTACAGGTTGCGTGTCTTATGAGAGTCGGTTGCCGGCTCATGCTTCGCGCCAAATGGTAAACACTGCTGATCAGTCTCAACAGGGACAAAATAGCTGTTCTGTGGTGTTCTTTAGTTATTACCATCACAATCAAAATGCAAGCGACAAATGAATAGCAAAATATCGAAATGAATAAAATCCACATTCAATACCACAAACTATACCTATCAATTTAACAGGCTAACCGAAACAAAGCGTTCTAAATTGAAGGTCAGCCATAGGTGCTAGCGTAGTTTTTTACTGTATCACAGTCTATCCGGATCGCGTATAAAGAGTTTAGATACAAGATGAAACAGCACCCATAAAAAAACAGAAAGTAATATGTAAGACGTCATCAAGAGTGGTAGTTAAACCATGTCACCTACAGTTTTCAGTCAGCAGTTGGGAAAATCTAGCGAGCCCTGACCTACTAGTCTAACTCCGTCAGATAATAAGCTGTTCCCTAATTAATGGGCCACAGTTAGGAATATTCACAACTTACACTACACATCAAGGGAGGACAATTGCGCGACTGTGCCACGGAGGTTTTACTCAATGGAGCTCGTGATCGTTTCAATTTACAAAACAAGAATCTTGAGGTCTGTATCCAACCTTTTTTGGATGATCGGATTATTTTATCACAGTGGTGAACGGACATTAATTATATTTCTGAAGATCTCTTGCAGAAACAAATGGAAAAAATAAACTAACCAGCAGTGCCTAACACCTGTTGCGAGAGAGGAGAAACATGTAGGACCAGTACTTAAATCAACGCAGCAGTCCCGAAGGATGCTGTGTGCGTTCAAACCCTAAATAAACCGTAAAACGTGTATCAATTAAACCTTCATCCTCTACCATGACACAATCATCCAATGAGCAAAATCCAGATAACGTAAAGCGAGAATGTCATATAAACGAGGAAAGCGAACAGAACTAGGTTTTGCAACGCATCAAGAAATGAAAAAGATAGATAAAATCGAAGGGGGTTCAGATATACTCCTAGAACATCGAAGGGACTAGGCCTGAACTCTGCCTAATTTTTCATACGCGATCGAGACACGACAACCTTTCTACGTTTAATAGATTTTTCTTTCAGAGCAGTTCTAGATAGTCATCAAATATTGTGAAAATTGAGTGACGTAACTTCCGTTCATAAACTCTCACTCATTCACTTACTCACCCATTCACAATCACCTTGCCTTCCACTTTCCCCGCTTACACACAGATATACATATTCACAAACAATCAACAATCACAATTCCATATCTCTTTTTAAACTCTGATTTCTTTCGCAGATGTGTCTCCTCTCAACGCCTGTTTAATCTATTATAAATTGTGCTGTATTTAGCCGGTTGGTGTGGCACCGAAAACGAGCTTGTTGGCTATTTGGTCTTCTTATGACTACTCCATCAGGAATATTTTCACATATAAAATTGAGTATCATGGACCATAGGGAGTTTTTACTACGAAAACAACAAGGGGAGTGGTGTCGAGCCCCATTTTATTTGTCTTTGAATGACCACACGCGCCTTGCAATCGAACAGTGATCAGTTGTGATGGAATGTACCCTTTTACTATGCAACCAACTGTAACCAATGAGTTCCTTTGTTCAGCTCATTGAGCTCACACGGAGCGTGCACAGACAGTTCGGCAAAGATGTCAATCTAGAAGCCTACTTCAGCATAATCTATGCAACTGACGATCACGAAAACATATACCGATTTCGGAGAGGCTGAATATGCCGGTAATATTGATGATACAATGCCTTAGTTCAATAAACGTTAACCTTAATGCAAATAAACCATGGTCACTGATTCATTCAGTGATAATAATACGTGTCGCCGCCAGATTTCAAGATTGAACGTGTTCCGGACTGAAAGGGAAATATACCGAGAGGTTTGACTGTGCATGGGATGCCCTGACGTTGTTTATGGATAACTGTATTAGTAAAACCATTCAGCGTTACTTGGGACTTAAGGAGCTACGGAAGGCACCAAGAGAACGGAAGGAGTTCGTCAGTTTACAGCTTGCTCTTGGGTCTTACGGCAAGGCTCAGTCGGTTGAGTTCATCTTCGATGGTCTTTTAGCATACATTTTTACAGCAACACAACCAGTCGCGAACAGTTTGCCCAGAGATGAAGCCACTTGCGCTGTGATGAAAAGTTCCATTCATACAGATGAAAGGATATCGATCAATCTGGGTATGTACGAGAAATCTTTGATGAATCCGGGTCAACTGCAGACATTACCAAACAGCTGTTGCCATTGCAGACTCATTCAAGTTTGATCATTTATACACCAAATGATTCGGATAAGCTTAAAGTCAAGTTTTAGATCTTGGTTGAGAAGGTAAGAGCGTATTATATAGTAAAAGAGCCCGTAAGTACGGGCAAATTCCTCCATTCACGGAATGGAAGCATATTTGCCAAGGATGTAGTGTTGAGATTTATGGATGATCCTTTAAATAATAAATATAACGTTACCCGTGAAAACTCCCTCATAAGCTTCAGTTGTGGTTACTCTACCTTCTAACCGAGTCAAGTTACCCAAAGGACCGGGAAATGAGACACTGTCATTGCACAAAAAGGTGTTCCTTCAAGAGTGCACGGATCAACAGCATTCTGTAAAATAATAAAACGAGACAAAGACTCCCTCTTATCAGTGGTGCACAGACAAAAGGCCTGACAACAAGTAAAAGCCTTTCTTTTCATTGTTTTACAATAATTAGATGTTGGGCGTGGATATCGTCAAAAGCGTGCTATAGGCGTGCAGTTGAAGATGTGTTGAATGGCCCAGTGGTGTTTGAGTGAACATGCACATCGTGCCTTGTGTCAACACCTGATTATGCTACATAACGGCTTTGGATTGTGATATAAATAGAGACGAGTTCTTGAAGAAGGTGATTTTGTATATGTGGTATTTGTCATCGTTGAGCCAAGTGTCATCCTGCAACTGAGTGCACAAGAGTTGCAAGGGAAAAAGTGCTGTCGCAGAAAAGCTGGCTTACTCTTCTGTTCCGCATTAAATCACAAGATACGCGTGGCAGAGTTGAACATCTCATTTTGAGTTGGTCAATGGGATATCATTGCTATAACCGAAAAGTGGCTTTCAGTTGCAAATATTGATCACGAACTCTCTTTATCAAATATGTCTCTACGAGGATGCGACCTTCCCAGACTTGCCGGTGGTGTTTCACTTTATGTTTGCGATGAACTTCAGTGCGGGGTACTCAGTGCTGCGGTTTCGGCTCTTGACACACTTTGGTGTAAGTTGTGACTGTCCAAATAGAATAAATGCTTGATTGGTGTAGTCTATCGTCCCCCTCATCCTCGGGGACAGCCAACGGAACTCTATTGCAAGCTATATCACACACTCCTATACAAAGATTTATTCATGTTCTTTTAATGGGTGATTTCATCTGCTCCATCGAACATCAGTTCAAACGGTTGGTTTACTTTCATCCATTGTACAGCCATATGAAGGAGTCTAACAGGTTTGGAAGCATGTAGTCAACATCAATACTGGATTTAGTGTTGAAAAACGAAGGGCTGATGGTAGAATCTATCAATGTGATTCCACCCTCCCTAGGTCTCAGCAACCATGCGTTCAAATATATTGGTTTTTATTATATCCAAAGAAGTTCTCCAAACAACATGTACAGATCCATAGATTGCAAAACTTGGTGCTCTCTACTCGGTAGGTTTCCCATGACGAAGAACCCAATCCTTTGGTCTCCTGGAAAAACCTTATCGAAAGGTTTGCACAGCTAATAACGTCGGTCACTAAGATTAGAGTAATCACACAATCTAGCGTCCGAAATTCACCCATTCAAATTCGCACGAGAAAATGGATATGTTTGAAGGAACTATCATTGCGAGATTGTGAACGTCTTTCGGTTGCCGTTACTTGGAATAATCATCGTAGGCTGGGGAACCACTGCACCAGGCTGATTCGCGAGGATAAGTCGATGTGCCAGGAGGTACTAGCAACTCTAAACCTAAGTTGTTTTTATAAGCATGTTAAATAAATTCGGAAAGTTAAGTTTGGTATACCGGCACTAAGCTGCGCTGGGAGAGTTGCAGCCACTCCACCGTAAACAGCTCAAATGCTAAAACCTCATTATTCCAAAGGTTTTGTTGCACCGAATGTTGCGGGTCTACAGTTCCCTCGCCGGTTGCATCACCTTCCATATCCGTCGCTGACCAATGTTACATTTACTGCTGAAAATATTAAAGGAAGACTAATGGCTTTGCGATAATCACGCAACCCCAGGTGCAGAATCCCTTAACTTTTTGGCTGCTCACATCTGAACTACCAGCCAGTCTATTCCAACGGATGTTTGACCAAATAACAGTCCGGCAATCGTGGAAACAAGGAAGTCTTTCACCCATATACAAAGGTGGTTATCGTAGTGACCCCACTATCTACCGATATGTAACAGCATTATCGAAAGTTATGGAGTCAAATGTGACAAATTCTCTGACGGCGCACTTCAAAAAATACATTCTTTCGATAGCTCAACATAGGTTCAAACAAAAGCGATCCTGTCCCATCAACTTGCTTCTTGTCCGAGATGAATGGACCAGAACAGTTGACGGAGGAGATGAGTTGGATGCAATTTATCTGAACCTCTCAAAAGTATTTGATAGGGTAAACCACCAAACAACAATTACGGTATTCGAGATTTCGTGTTTGATTCGATTATAGCATTCCTTCGACAACGGATCATATCAATTCGTGTTTCTGGTTTCCTATCCAGTTCTATCAACGTTCCACAAGGGTCTGTACTTGTTCGATGACTTTTCCTCGCATTCATAAATGATCTACCGAAAAGCCTAGAGCCAAAAAACATTAAACTTTTTAGACAATGCCAAAATCTAGAATATAGTAACAGTAATAGTAACAGAATCCGATGTTTCACTATCACTTCAAGAAACAATGAATGCAGCTTGGTACGGCTCTCCAGAGAACGATATTGAATTCAATGTTTTTAAATGCAGTCTTATCCCTACGACACAGGATTAAATTGTCGCATTTCGTCGGAAATCATTAGCTGCCAAATAACTCAAGGGGAAAGGACTTTTTATAAGACGACTTAAGCTGCTTGAGTAATTGCACCAGGACTTCGTCCACTGCTGTGCGCTTGCTTAGGCGATTCTTTGGTCGAATTCAGTCAGTATTATTTACTGTTAGTGTACATTTGACCCTACACACAGTATACCATACACGTTTGGAGTTCATGATTGCGAAGTGATTGGAAGATGCTGGAGCGTCCACCAAGGTGGTCAAGAGATCAAAATGCCTCGCTTACGAGGAGAGATTATGAGCATTGGAACTATATGCTGCTCAGTTCCGCGGAATTCGATAAAGTATTTTGGCTTATCAAATACTGCAGAACCCAAACCATCCACGTTGGCCACTGCCCACGTTGTCGCCCAGCATAAACCTTGAGGGACGTTGTTTCAAGTTACTGGTTCCAAAGTGTCTACTGGAATGTCGATATCAATCTTTGTAATCAGTGTGCAATACTCGGAATACCCTTCCATTTCATGTCGTTTGTGCGCCAACTGTTGGATCTTTCAAGCGGAGACTTGATGAAACCCTGGCACATCTCCGATTCCTGCACAAATAAAGACGGAAGGTGGTTGAAGACTACCTCTAGGTGTTATATCCTACCCAAAACCATGTGTGACGTTTTATCATTTTCTTGCCCAGAAACGGTTTATTTGTGCAAATATTCCATGAGGATTCGAGAAGCACGAGCTTGTGAGTAATTCCTATAGAAATTCGGGATAAAGATGAGTTAATTATTATCCCTACTTCAATTTGATAAATAAGAAAAACGAACAACAAACTCAGAAACTTGTTAACAACGATGATAATGCGCTGGATATACTGCTCATTTTATGACAAGAATCAGAGTGCAATGCGATCCACCAATAGAATAGATTTTTGCGAGTGATCACTCTGGTGTGGATGGTTTACAAAACATTACTATGTTAGCACGAAAAACTCACATCCATGTCCACTAACAGACGTTCGGCTTCGTGGAAACTTGTGGTCGTTTGTCGAGCCGATTTAGAGAATCCACTTATTTTGGCCGCATTCCGCTGTCCGCGACTCATGCCATTTGATGAGGGATAGGGTACCGGTGGGGGTTGGCCTGGGCCGATAGTGTTCCGCTGAGCTGGAGCTGGGGAATGACTTTAAGGAGAAAAAAAAATGAAGAACTACAGTGAACAATACCCTTTCAAGGGGAAAAGCGTTTCATCGAACAAGATAAACATCATAACCCGACACGGACTCTGGTAATGAATCCAAACAAGCACCAATAACTCGTACTGATCGTAAATATTTATGAATATTTTTCACAAACTGCAATAATGAGCGTAAACTTACTCTTTTTTGAAGCAAACACGTTGTAAGCCGAGTGTCGGTACCATGCCTCCCGTGCCCGGCAAGGTTGTAGACAACGTCATTGAACGTGTTTCCCACTCCTCGCCGGTAGCTTGTTGAACCATACCATAGTAGACGATCTGTAATACATAATCAAATAATACAGTAGGTTTCTCCTTTCAATTCTATGGCATTCCGGTAGAATTTTCTCAACAAATTTTACAAAGTTAACCTCATCTTGTCCAACCAAAACGAGGAAGAATGGAACCACTTTACTGCTCATTTGCCGTAAACTGAAACCATATATTTACGGAAGGGTAGGTTCACGAGAAATTTTAAATGGTGAATTTTTCGACGGAAATAAATGAATGTCAATGTTTCCACATTTTCTCACCCATTAGACTCCGGATAGCGATGCCTCTAGAATGATCCACCGCTTGGCACTATAAATTGTCTCCAAATCCAACAAATTATCACATCATTCTAATCAAAGTTATTCTTCCGGTAATGCGACTTGGAGTGATTCGCTGGACTTAAGCTAGAACATGCACTACTAAACTAGAATCTGAACCTCTCCAGTTACACCCATTCCGATAGAACTTGGATCAGTCAGTTTACACAAACACTCCATTCGTCTGTTTATTCGATGGTTGGTCTTTATCGTAGTACTTGGTTGGGAAAAAACTACACATCTCTTAGGCAGTAACTATCAGATTGTTTATGCAGACTACAAAAACAGTTTATAACTGACCAGCATTTGGCTAGTAACTCACCCCAGTTGCTAACCCAAACCATTAACAACATGCTACTCTCTCTTGACCGGTCCCAAATATTCACGTGTTCGTCGTCCCCTTCAAGGTTACTTGCTGTTTTTCATTTGCCGGATGACCGAAATCCGGATTGTTCAATTCGTAAGGTCATTCACCGGAAGAAAACACGAATGAGACAATTCACACATTAGCTGATTTTACTCCTCCACACCAGACGAAGAAAGTCACCCATCGAGCATCCATTGGAGCTATACAGTTATGATTCATCAAAACCGAGTTAAAACTTTCACCCGCGAAAATAACTATCCCATGTATTCAGTCATTACAAGGAGAACGACCTATCCATCTTTACTATATTACGAAATGGTGAATTAAAATCCGGTCCACTTATTTAAATCAACCAGGGGAGACAGACGCGAAAATATTGAGAAATCAAATTCAGTTCTTCATCAGATCCACATAATTCAGGTTTGAACCTTGTAATCTATTTATCCCCAAACCGGTTCTCTTTTTCCAAAGGAAAGACAGCTGTTGGACACAACAGATTCCTATATAAATTTGATTGCTATCAGGATATGAGATTGGTGGATATATCTATGAGAAATCCCATTACCACATTATAGAGTATTACCCTCCTGAATAACTGAGTAACTATGACCCTTGTAATGAGGATGACCAATCACTTGAATAAGTTCGATTACAGTCAGTTTACACTTCGTGCCCTACATAAGGTCAATCAAAGTCCAATGGGCGTTCGAATTCTATCGATGACCGAGGCAATTACAATTTACTATACTCCCTTTGGGAGCCCAAAAAGAGCTTGCAAGAACAGTAGACCTACCATGGGATTCCATTCACAATCGAACTAGTCAGCTACCTGGTGGCCGGGAGAGTAGCACTTTTGCTTTCTGATTGTGAAGTCTCGGGTTACAGTTTCAGTTCGTTCGATGTATTTGCGCTGTTGGTGAAACCCAACCAGATTGAAATGGCTACCTAATGCTTCTTAGCTTTTCATTTCACGCTTCTTGAGCCCTGTACACGACGAAATTCACTATATGACCAAACCAAATCCTCCGCTAACCACATGGCTCATGAAATGTCATCGAACCGTTACCTTTGTTTAAAGTGCGCAGTGATTGCAGATGTTGAGAACTCTCGTTATGAAGCAACTGTAAAGCGGCTCCAACAGCCTTATTGTTTTGCGATTCCCATTGAACTTTTCAGGATACAAAAATCTAGAGTTGTCCGAAGGTTGCAGAAAAACAATTTATTGTGTATTATGCGTGAAAATGCCTCTCTATGTGTCTAACGCAAACTTTCATGAAAAATTCTCACTGCAGGATGTGACTTCGATTGAATTAAGTGCCAACGATCTCCAAAGTAGAATTATTTTTGGTTAGAAGCTCATATAGTTGACCCATTTATTACCATTACTCTTCAGACAAGTATTCAAACCCCGAGTTATACAAATGCAAAAACTAAGTGAAAACGAATACATATGGCAGATATATAAAAAAGGCAACTCACCTTCATTGTTCCATCACTGTTGAAGATGCGTATGTCGTAAGCCGGTTTCCATCCGCACCTGCCTACAACATAGGAGACTAACATCTCGACTTGACCCGTCTCTCGTGGTTCCACCAGAACACTAAGTTCGCTGAATAAAAATGTGAGAGTAGATGAAATGCCTCATAATTAATTTTGGAATTAAGTAAAATTAGAGTTTAAAAAGTGGAACTCGAGGGTTATGATCGTTATTCAGGTACAATTCCTGCTGTATTCCATGACTTCGTGCAATGAAACCAAGTAACTGACTGAATTGTTATAATGTCCAATAGTCAATATTGGTTGTTATTCCTTTGGGTCATAAACTATTTACTGATCCCTTCACCGCTTTACCTTAGAGACCTGGCCATATAGACAATCGAGCTATCAACATATTTTTCGGCATCGGTAACGGGAACGTACACATATGACTGCACCAGATCAAACATATTCACAGAAAGACTTCTCTCACTTATGTACATACATAGGGTATTTCACTATCTAATTTGCTTAGGTTATAATTTATTTCTACTATTATATAGATTTATAAATACCAAAATTAAAGGTATAACGCCAAAAACATGGGTTGAAAGAACAGAATACGAGAACAACAGCATAGGGATAAAATAAAACTAGCTGCGGATCGCGTGAATGCACTGAATGCATGAACGCGGATGTGATTTCTTTCTCCCTCCTCTAGAACCGCTTTTCTTAACCCAATCATAATCCCAGAATATGCATTGAGTTGTACCTCAGTAACTGGATCCTCAAAATCAAAAGCCCGAACAATAAACAACATTGATGGGCAAAGTCGTTCTTTGAGCATCATATTTCATTATTGAGGAAACGCATACGTACATGTGCATGGCGATCTCATTGATCGGCTGATTGATTTTCGAATATGTTGGATCTGCCTACGCAATGCAGCTGAAATAGTAGTTATAAGTGCTCTGGTTGCCAACTCTCAGTTTGATTGATTCATTACAATTCTCTATAGGTGACCAAGATCATACATGTCGTTTTCCCATCACCAAAACGACAGATGCGGCACGATGTCATGCGTCTGTGGACGTTAGCTGATGCATTCACCACGGGCCGTCTTCACTCCTTGAAACTTCGTGTACTTCAAAAACACTCAATCCAACTACCATAAAACAGTTGCGACGATAAGAATTTAATTTTGTTCAACCATTCTATACTTTTTGCAATTCAAGTTGTCCAAATATCATTTCATGTTGTTCAAATGGTTGTTTGGCAGTTTGAATTCTTGTTGTGGAATTGTGAAATGTTCAGTAGCCCCGGAGAGATTCGAACTCACATATATGGACGCTGTCTATGCTTTTGTATAGCTCTCGTTCTACCAGACGAAATACGAGGCCACACCGATGTATAAACATCAGTGCTATCGGCCTCGTGGCTCAGCTGGTAGAGCGTGCGCTGTACAACAGCGTGGGCGGCGTTCATGTGTGGGTTCAAATCCCACCGAGGCTACTGAACTTTTCACAATTCCAATCATTTCAAGCTGCCTTCTTGATCTCATCGGATTTGCAGGCTCATGCACATATAAAGCCACCATGCAGCATAGACTTGTGAACTCCTAGTGGAAGCGTGGGGGTGACGATCGTGAGACTTGACCACACACACTAATCTGCATGACAATTTTTGATTGTTTACCTTACTAGTACGCATGCGCGTCTGTGTGTGTGATCATCCCCTTCCCCCGGAAAGTTATATCGGGTTATGCTACGTTGATACCAACGGATCATGGGCGATCAACGCTTGAGCCATTGCTTACGTCCGCGCCTGATGCTGCAATAGAATTCATAAGCTACAACCGAAGCGCCTGCACTGGAACATCAATCGATCATTATTGTTGACCAGATTCGCATCTAGCTTGTTCAACACTTGCAGATTATATTGCAACTCTGTGATACTACCGGAAAACCACCTTCATGTTCTGAACAAGCAAAATGAGCATTTGGCCACACATTTGGAACGAAATTAGATATCTCTATCAAACCAACTGCAATTGCCATAACACAAGGGCTGTCGAACTATGCCACACATTTTGAGATAGTTGCGTAATTTTATAAGGATTTAAAAGGTCGAAAAAATTAAAATGTTTTCAGAAATGCACTTGTCTGAGTAAAGACTCTTAATCTGATGATCTTTATCGCCGAAGTCATATGGTCCTATTAAAACATTTCCTCCAGGCAACGCAAGTTGATTGAATGAAGACTATGGTATGATATTCAGAGCTGGCTTCGAACAGTCTTATTGATAAATAAAGCGAGTCAAATAATAAAGCTTTATGCATCGGATAATGGTAGATCATCAGCACTTTCGACAAGTTACAGTGAACGGTAAATATGGGAAAACAACGTTTACCAAATGAAAAAATGGACGTGATAAGAAGTTAATGTGACAGGTGATTTTCCAAGTCAGTAGTGACCGTTACTCGGTTCACTAAGACACGAGTAAAACGAAGGATATGGTGGTAAGTGCACGACGAATCCTAAATTCGAAACACTTGGTCGGATGAGAAACAGATTTAATGGGATGGGTGTTCAGGTAGTGTTCTTTATTTGACTGTGCACAAAATGAAATCAATGAAACTGGTCTTGATAACTGTCTTAGGGATAAATCTTGGTTTGCGTAACATTGCCAAAATATCAACGCATGGGATCGATTCCCACCAAAGCAACTGAAAACCATTCAAACAAAAAATATGTGAGTTGAGAACACATTCAAAAAATCGATGACTTATGGAGAAAATGTCACTTCAAATATAATCAAGCGACCTGGAAAAATATAGTAACATAACGGTCTTTGGTCGTCCAAATACCAGCAACTTGTATCGATCAATGTGGAAATGTGGTTTGTTGTCTGAACTAAAATGCTTTTGAAGTTATTAATTTTCATTATTTAGTCCAATTAAAATAAAGCCCTAGATACAACCACTACACAAAAATTGAACAGATTTATTGGAAACACATCAGGGACCTTTTGAGATAAATGCTGCAACAGATTGATCGAAAATCAGCTTAAAATGTTTTCGCACAGTGTACCATAATCAAATGACTGTATTTAGGACCTTTATATACAATTTCACTGCTCGCAATAAATCACTTCAGGTTCAGATCATACCGATCACAACTTAAATGAACCTTCACTACTGATCCGAATTGCGTGATTGTGTGAAGTCCACTTGAAGTTTCCAGGGCAAATTAGTTAGTCCAGGGCTAAACAGGAAGAATATGGATGCCTTTATTACCGTTCAACAAAACTGCGGTAGAAACAGACAACGCACATAATCACAAAAATTACTTAGTGGGTTGTCTCGATAGTTCACTTCGATTATTCTCGATTTTAGGTGTATAATATACCATTTGCTCAACGTGCTGCAAACTGCGCGGTTCGAAAACCATCTATGTACTTTGGGCTAAAGTGAGTGATTTTGTCTGGTTTAAATTTTCCCCTTCTGATGGTTAGTTTCAACGGTGACATCTTTACTCAACACATCTCTATTTCTTTTCAACCTTTCCGTTGGAAAAATTGCAAACATAAGGCTTGATAAGTCGAAAACCTAATAAACCTAATAATCATCATTTATGAAATTCAGGCGGGACATTTGGTGTATCATCTTTGGTTTGCAACGTGCGCGTGCTCTCAAACGATTTCACGAATGATTCTCGCTCAAGGCAAATGATCTAAATCTATCGTCAGATTCAATGGTTCAGATCTTTGGTAATTTTGCAAATTTCGGACTAGAAGAGGTGTTGTTCGCAAACTATTTTGATAACAATGATACCATTTATCAATAACATGATCAAATAAAACTACTGTTACGTGAATGTAACAATCCTGCCTACTCCATATTTACAATCTCTATCTTATAGTGTTTTGTGGCAGTTTGGTTAAATGTTCATCTGTTTTATCTGATCTTTATTATCATCTCCATCGATAGACGCAATCTAAAATGTATTGAATAAATATATACAGATAGATATTTAACATTCATCTTTACAGATTCGGCACCACTTTAGCTTATTGAATACAGATAAACTAAAATGTACCATTAATAGTAGTTCATACAATGGAATTTTCGAATCTTTCCAAGCGACAGGGTATGATATCCGTTAATTACGAAAACACTGTCAAATCACTACATTAACATATTCCAAGAAATTTGGGTTGCATCAGGAAAACGGATAACTTTACATGTGATGTGACAACAAATTTTTATCAAGAAGCAACATATTTCATGAAGATTCAAATGGCCGTTATGTGGAAAGTCGAAGTCCGGCAGAATAAAATCTAAAAACCAGGATTGATTCTGTGCTACAGTTCCGCTCGGTTTTCTGAAAATATTGGGCTCGATTCCTGGGCTGTTGGTCTCACACTTCAGACCGAATATAGCTGGGACAGCCTTATCCACCAAAACTCACATGAATGTTCGCGGAACTTGTTTCTACCAAAAGCACTGAAGTTATCGTTGTCACGTGGTCGCGATGATTAGGAAGTAAAGAGCACTACGTCTTATCTGTCTGCCACTCCCACCGTCCTATTTCTCGATTTTCTCCGAATGTTTTGGCATTCCTTGGATTAACCATAATTTATTTCCTGAAAACTAATTCTGCTTTGATTTAATAAGCTAAAGCAATCAAACTATTATTGGTAATAATGATTGAATAATTCATAGGCTAAATAGTTCAGGATCATTGGGCTCAACTAGTTCAAACAAAGATGTATCAACTAGTATTTTTAATTCACTGAGGAATACAAAGATAACTGATTCAGATTGTTTATTGCAGTTTTCTTGTTTATATCCATCGTAACACGACGCAACATGATACAGAAAAAAGTGAGAATATCCCGCACTGAAGACAGTCTCGCTTGTTTTGGGAGATACCCATTGATTACAGGATTTTGAGAGGTCACATACATTGCCACCCAATGTTACGTCAAAAAACGATCTATCACCAAAATAAATGATGACCAGAAGTTGGTACCGAATGCATTTCTTAAAAACGCCTCCTGTTCTTTCCAGCTGGTTGTGTTTCCGGATTAACAGAAATAGGATTTGGTGTAATTATTGCAGACAATATTGAC